CGTTTCAGGCAGGGTCGGGCATGCCCGGGTCAGGCAGGGTCGGGCATGCCCGGGTCAGGCAGGTTCGGGCATGCCCGTTTCAGGCAGGGTCGGGCATGCCCGGGTCAGGCAGGGTCGGGCATGCCCGGGTCAGGCAGGGCGATTCATCCCCCACCGACTATATAAACTACTTATTAATTAATATTATCATCATTTTAATTATTTTTATTTTGCTAAAAATTGTTACTACTAAATAAATACCATAAATATAATATTGTAATAAAATAGTTTAATAAACAAAAAACAAATGATAAATCTGTTATTTGTTATACATACACAATAATACAGTAAATGTACAATAAATAAGTAATATTGTATAGGTAGGCAAATAAAATAATAATTTATTAGTAAACCGCTTTTGGTAATGATAAATAAAATACCATTGGTTACATTGATCATATCTATATCCACACAAAATAACAGAAACTAACGTTATTATCACTTGACAATGAAATGCAACTAATTATTGAGTTTTATTGTGACTTCAATTAGATTATGTTGGTTAAAAAATTGTATTCAAGCATAATATATAATAACAAATAATGGCTAATATCACTCGTGATGATTGGCAAATGAAAGTGGAAAATGGTAAATTTAAAAGTAATTTTGTCACACAAAAAAGTATTGGCAAAGGTTACTTTGGTGAAGTCTTCCTGGTTAAATCTAAAGCGGATAACAATAATTATGCTGTTAAAAAAATTGAACTAAAGAAAGGTAATTAACAATTAGCAATAATTATTTGTGTAACTATTAATTAAAAACATTTTGGCTAATAATTTATGACAATTAATATACACTATTATTTGTAACATTAAAATTTTATTTTCAAATCTAGATTTAGTAGAAGATAAAGGTGACTACAAGAAAAACATAAACAGGGAGGTAAGCATATTGCAGAATTGCGAACACGTGAGCGTGGTGAAATACTACGAGTCTTGGCGCGAACATGGTAAAGCCGGTAGCGACCTTGCCGCAATATACATCCAAATGGAACACTGCCCGCTCGATCTCTATGAATTTTGCGGATCTATCAAGAACATCTATAAGCGCAATACAAACCAAGTTATATGTTTGGTATCATATTTTGTTATGCTCACCATGGTCGAAGAAATACTGGTGGCATTGGACTATTTGCACAGTAAGAATATAATGCACCGTGATATAAAACAGTGGAATATATTGCTGAAACGTGATGGTGATAATTGGGTAAAGTTATCTGATTTTGGATTGGCCAAGGTGGAAGATGCCTATTCACAAACCCATACAAACGTAGGCACCGCCACTTATAAAGCGCCCGAGGTGAAATGGGGCGGTCATTATACCACGTCGGCAGACGTGCTTAGCCTGGGAATTATGTTGATTCAATTTTTTGACCTCGATATAAACAAGTAAGTTTATTTTATTTTGAATACTCAAAATTATTTAATTTTATAAAGTTTATCATATTTATTTATTTATCATTAACTATATTAATTGAGTAAATTTAACAATTCACTTTATGTTAGTAATAATTATGTAATATAATAACAATATAATGTAACATGTCAATTTACCCTTTAGGCAAAATGTTCACCACGAGTTAAAGGATTTGTTTGCGAGTATGATTGCTGGCAAAGCGACTGAACGTCCCACATGCAAACAGGCACTGGCTAGTATTAGTCAACCGCCCCTAATCTATGATCTGGATAAAGTGCGAGCCGATCATCATAATATTTCTCTTTTGGGTCAAAATGAATTTCTGAAGTCATATTATAATAATAAAATGCAATTAAAATTTGATAATTAACACGAGAGAGAGAGAGAAAATAAGAGAGAAAGAGATTAAAAACTGTATTTAAATTTTAAAACATAAGTTTTATTAATAAAATAATATATAAAAGGATATTTAATGGAGAATAGTACAACCCATATTTTAATTATTAATTAAGTTTTGATTTTAATTTAGTATTAACAAGTTTGCTAAATAGTAGATTTAAAATTAAATTTTTCATTGAATTATTTTTTTAAATAATTATTTTTCAAATTTTCCAGACAAGTAACACCACCATGATCCGCGCTCACAGCAGCCACATCATAGACAATAGGCTCTCTTTTAATAGTGTCAAGCACATCTGAGCATGATGGTCTATCATCAGCAATTGGCGACATCATTTTGCCCAATAAGTTTTTAAGAGCAACATGTACGCCAGGCCTATTAAAATATAGTAATATCAAAATGTATTTGCAACAAATTATTAAATAATTAATTAATTAAACTATACTTGGATATATCAAGCTTGAAAAAGGCCACAAACATCACGGCCAAACCGTAGCCATCTACAAGTGTTTTATAATGACAACCTGTGCCCACCTCTGGGGCCATATAAGCCAAGTTCCCTGTACGCTTTGTATGCAATTGCGACCCTGATTCATATACCTTAGACAAGCCAAAATCACTTATTTTAATTGTCCAAATATCCCCGCTGTTTTGTAGCAAAATATTTGTCTCTTTAATATCACGGTGCATTATGTCCAAACTGTGCAAATATGCCACACCCTGCAATATTTCTTCAGCCATATTGAGCAAGATGAAATATTCTACAGGTTCTATGGGTAGTCCCCGCTTGCGCTTAAATGTGTTGTCCCTGTCTATTATGACCTTGGCCAGATTGTAGTCACAGTAATCCATCATAATGTAAATTTTGTTTTTTGATTTACTATGCTTGCGCCAGGATTTATAATAATGGACTATATTAACATGGTGACAACTTTCCAATATGCTAATTTCCCGTTGGATGTGATTTTTATTTTCATTATTTGCTTACATAAATTAATTTTACAATTAATAATTAATAAATTTTAAACATAAAACAAGGTTAATAATTTCTATTCAAAAATAAATATTATTAATTTAATTATTTAAAACATTATAAATAGCATATTGTAATATAAATAGTAATTAATAATTTTTTAAAAATTATAAACAAGTTTACAAAATAAAATACCTAAAATTCTTTTAATAGCGTAAATTTTACCATCCTTATTTGACGTAGCTTGATACACAATGCTAAATGATCCTGAGCCAATTGCCCTAAATGTAAAATCACGACTGAATTTAACATTGTCATCTGGCATGATCAATTATTTATTTTTCAAAAGAGTAAATTAATTAATTAATGTAAATACGTTATTAAATAGTCTACTAAATAAATATTAAAAACAAATTCTACTATTGTTATTTAAAATAATGGTTATTATCCTTACAACAAAAGTGGTAATGAAAACTATTAGATAAGTTTAAGTAGTAACCAAAGATAGTTGTGAAATAGATAGATCTTAAATTATATTATGTAATAGATTAATATCCTTTTGTGGGTAATTTATATGTGTAATAAAACAAATATAATATTAGTTTTTCATATAGTTAACGATAATTAAATATTTTATATACTGTATATATTAAATTTGAAGTAATTAATGTTTAATAATTTTTAAATATTTAATAAAATAATGTTAAACTCACTTTAATTTTTAAAATAACATTTTATTAATATTATTACAAATTAATAAAGATTGATTTACTTATTTCAAATAGTTTTAGAATTTTAAAAATCATAAGGACACAATATTTACTCTCTCTCTCTCTCTCTCTCTTACTTTCATTTGAAAATTGTGTATTTCAGTGGTATTTTGATAAATAAATATACAGTAATTATTATAATATAAACACAAACTAGAT